TTTAATTTGATGACAGGGATGGGAGAAAATGTGAAACTGCAAAGTGTCGATCAATACTGTAGCAAGTGGCTTAAATTATATACGTGAGATATCCTATGAAATAAAGTAGCAAAATTTGATCAAATATGGGTCTCTTTGGAAAACCAACCCTGCAAAGCAATTAAGCAACACAATTTTAACAACTGCTTTAACAACTCCATAGTTCGGCTTGTGAACTGTTAGTACACCAAAACAGAGTTTATTTCTCATATACTTAATCGCTCTGTCTGCTCCTCTAAACCAGCAATACACCACTTTTCTTGAATATGATTGATATGCTGAGTCTCTTTTTTTCTCGGTTTGAGCTAGTAAGCTCCTCTTGTTCGACATAAAGGAGAATTGATTTTAAACAGCCCACGAAGCCTTGCAACTGTGCCCCAACTTTAAATGTGTTGCAAGCCAAGAATTACTTCACAGGCAAAGAAAGTGCGAAAGGCCACTGTTCACGTGCTAACTACCACAGTTGTCATAAGAACAATTAACCTACTTAAATTGCCCTGGTTCCGCCCTATGCTTGAACAGTGTATTGTAAGATTGGCATCCAAGCGAATGGGACGTATCAACCCCGTTCCGTGGTTCGTGCATACAGACACCCCTATAAGTATTCGTTCAAGAGTGATGTGTAGTAAATGGTTCTGACAGCTTGACAAACGTGAAAGAACCCATTACTGAAATAAGTCGTATTGCATTTCAGTATCTACCCATGTGAGCCACGCGCATGCTCAAACTGGCTTCGTATTTAATTCAAATGCATCATGAGAGACACGCGATTCTGTTAAAAAGTTATAATGTTTAGCTTTTCAGTGAATTATTACGACCACTTCTTCCCGATTTTTACTTTTATCTTCGTGGGCAGTCTACGACTCTCCAAAGATGTTTCTGCGTATTATTAATAAACGAATTGCACATGACCGTCTTTAACATATCAGTTCAACTGATGACGTATCAGTTCTGCATTTTATATTTTGCATATTGCCATTTTAAAAGCACCATTATAAATAAAAGACACTGTATGAAGCTGTATGTTTATTTTTCTTCATCCATCCAATGCGGATGAGAAATTGGGTCAGTGCCCTCCCTGATGCAATCAGGTTGCTGTAATTCCGATTTCCCCCAGCAGATGTCCCAGCGAGACCAAGAAAGTTACTGCCACGCATTTTTTTTAATCAAAACTATTTTCTAGGAAATGCAGGTAGACGACTCAGAAAACCGAATTATTTTCATAAAATGGATGTCACAATATCAGATAAGAGACTAGTGAAACTGACCAGTGAAAAGCAACAGGGACCATGTGGGTAATGCTTACATGTGCAGCGCTGCGGCCGCGCGCCTTCAGCAATCCAGCGTTACTGCATGTATTTTTTTCTGGTCCAAAGAGCAGTCCGTGCACTTTTTGGTGCCCTTGGTTAACCTCACATCGGCCAGTGAATTGGGGGAGTTAAAACGCCAGGGGTGAATACCTCTGCTTTTTCTCTAGGTCCTGATAACATTTTTAGATTTCAACCACGACACCCAGCTGCTTACAAAACAAAAGGATTTATGTAGTTTTATATGAAATGCTTTTCCCACCTGAGTGGGTGGATAAAAGAGCCAGATCTCTCACGTCATCACTGGCGTGGATCAGAGCTAGAGAGGGAGCGGTAACCCATCCGTTAAGTTCATTAAACATAATAAAGCATGCAACTGCCACGAATAAACTGACTAGGCCTATATGTTTAAAGGGCACCAAACACGGGCGAGAGATATTAGGCTGACAGATAGATAGATAATCTAAATTCCAAAACAAGTATAATTCTAGCTATGCAAAGCATTTCACTTTCTACATGCCTTTGTTTTCCTTTGTTTAACTTCATAATCACAAAGACCTAATATCTTCCATGCTGTTTAATCGCCCTTGCGATACAAATTAAATGTAAACTGCTGTCTATTTAGTAGGTCTAATGGTTGTTTTGGATCATAACATTTTGTTTCATCCCGCAGTGCTACATATTTATAAACACGCAGTGTTAAACTGTTGCTATTCCTTTACAAACCACGTGAAACAGAAATGGAAAGCTTGTGCTGAATCAACGAAAGACTTCCGTGAACGCTGTTTAACAGGAAGCGTTCCTGCGAATTGCCGATAGCGAAAGGTGAACCCTGAACATTAAATTTCAGGGCTATACAGTTATGTCTCAAAAAGGTCGCCTCACTATTAAACTGCTTACCCTAAACGTACGCCCCACTACAACTTAGTATGCAAAATAAAAACAATTAAAAAAATATTCTGGGTATATACTATCAGATGTTGCTTCGTGGCTGTAAATAATCTAAAGAAATGTCAGCACTTTATCCATATGTTCACGAATTACCCCCCAATGGGCGTTCGTAGACCCCTTTTACTGGGGTACGTGGCCCAGTATTTATGTGTTGTGCCCCAGTAAAACACCACGTTCAAATCTTAAAGATAATGGGAGGTAGGGGGGCCTTCCCCCCCATCCCCAACACATGAGTCAGAATAAAACGTGTCCCAGGCGTCTCGGCGCTGCTGACTCATCCAGAAGGGCGGAGATCGCGTTACTCCGGCCGACAGTCACTACCGGAGAGGGCGATAAGCGGTGTAGGTTTGCCAGTCGGGTTTTCCCCACCAGCTGCATCGCAAAGGTTGAAGAAAATCACACCAAGGCACTGAAGGGGTTCCGACCGTGATCTGCTGAAAATTAGACGAATCAGATCAATTCTGTTCTGCCGCAATAGACACAGAACTCGGAAAAGCAGTCAACAGCATTTAAATTAAGCTTTTCTGGTTTGACAGCTGTATTGTATATACGGCTAAATAAACTCGTCTATAAATGCTGAAGCGATAGTTCGGCCGAGAGACGTTTCAGAACACGAGGGAGCAGGGTGGGCGACTGCATCCAGTGCTACACGGATCCGCCCGCTCGACAAGTTTGTGGAAGGCTCGGCCTTTTATCCAGCCCGATCAATGCAAAAGGGACAGTATTTCTTTTAGGACACCGATGAGCCGCTGTACAGTGCGCGCCGCTAGCAGTACCCCGTCATCAGCGCTCTCCATTGCCGCATGTGGATGAGTCATAATCATCCGGCACGTTAACTTCAAATCACAAAGTGCCCTTTTTGTTTGAGTGTCACAATAAGGGAAAACCCAAGTTACTCTTGAGACTGATTTACTTTCCTCCATAATAGAGATGATTGTGGTACACCTATTGTGAAATGCTTGCCACTTTTTTTCTTACTGCGTGGTTGCTGCCAGTTTAGATTTCTATCAGGAGAGGTTTTTTGTTCTGGTCGTTTAAGTACATCGCATGAGGCTGGTTCCAAGGATATTGGTTTATATATACGTCATTTCAGAAGGTAAATGGAGTAGGTTTCAATGCTATTTTTGTGACATTGGCTATTAGTAAATTGGCTCATGTATGCCAAAGGGGATTAAGAAATAAAAAAGCAGATTATGTCCATTATTTTTCTACATTGTGTTTCTAGACAACACAAGTCACCAAAAAATCCAAATTGGACATATCTCAGAGAAATAACTTCCTATATTTTTGCATGCATCCTAACTCATGCAGTGGGTGAACACATTGAAAACAAGACATTCTGATAAGCGGTTGTGATTGTTTCACCGAGTCATTTACTAAGATGCAAAGGTCAACTGAAATGACTCAGAGCATTTCCTGTGTTTTGTGAAGAATACAGCCGGAACGGTTTTACTACAGCAAATAATTCAATGAAAGGTCCCCAAAGATCACAGGTTAACACATTACAAGACAGGTTTTTTTGTACTGAATATGCATGACTGGGCGGCAGGGCCATTGCGAATAACCTCTTACGATCATGAGTAAATTCCGAGATCCTTTCAAAATGAAGGGGATAACTTCACTGTACAACAGAATTCCAGTCATAGACTTCAATTCTGTGCTTCAAGTAGCTCAAAGCATCTGATAACTCAGTTTTTAGTTATCACATTTCAAAATAATAGCATGAAAACTGGTTATAAAATGGTCAGAGGAAGAAAATTCCTCTTAGCCACTACTAGACATGCTGTCATGCTGGATGAGGAAAGGTGATGAGTGATCCACACAGAACCATGTTCCACCTTCTCAAGTGAACCACTGAGTCATCAGTTGTGTAAGACCTACAGCTGTGTAGCTGGGAGTAGTACTTAAGTGTGAACCTTTAGGAGAAAGATGTGACATTTAGTAACTTATTTAACCAGAATTTCTACCCGCACAACTGGGTAAAATCTAAAACGAAATATCTGTACTTAGTGAAGGGAATGGGGGAGGGGAAATCCGGCGAGTCACTTTCTGCGTACTCCAAGGACAAGCGAAGGAGGTGAAATCTGCGAGAACAAGCGGGACCAAGGGCCTCCAGTGCAAGCTGGTTCAACGTTCCTTACTGGCACATTTGGCAGTGGAGTCTTCATGAAGGCTTCAGTCCCTTCAAGTCAAGCATAATGCACTTTTAAAAAAACTGAAAAAGAAAATATGTATATGCACACACGCACACCTTTTTGAGGACCGTCCATTCCTTTGTATTGGAAAAACGTTAATCCCAGCAATGACAACCTTAACCCCTACCCAGTCCTAAGCTTAAATCATGAGTAACCAGACTTGACATTTAGATTTTTGATTGCAGTAAGACGTAAAAAAAAAAAGTTTCCCCTCATGGAGATGAAGAAAAAAAAAAAATGTCCCCACAACATCAAGATAACAGGTTTCTATGACATTGTAGGGACATTTGGTCCCCACAACATTTTATATATATATATATATGTGACACACACAGACACACACACACACACACACACACAGACACACAGCATAAGGGTTTTTAAATGACCAGAGCATGTCCATTTTTGTGATGAAAAGCACTGCCCAAAAATATTCTTCCAGGATAAGAGATTATGTATCATTTTCTGATATCAGGTGGCCAAGAACAGACATTTCTGTCAACCCAAGCACATTTTAAAAGCAGAAAAGTTCATTTTATTTCAAAATTTAAAAGCAATAAGAATTGGGGGATGTTTTAAAAAGGGAGAAAAATGTATAGGTCTATAGTAGATTCTCCACCATCCCCCTTCCCAGCTATTAGACCCTTAGACACCACACACATGTTATTGGGGGGGGTGGCACAGCATAGTTGCAAATATGTCCTATTGCAAACCCCCACAGGAACTGTGATGCAGTGATGAATAAGAAGCTAAGAGTGCCAGGTGTCTTCCTGTGAGGAACAGAGAAGCTCTGTGGGGCAGCGGCAAAGGGAAGCCTTTCCAAGGTAGACAGGGGCATCAAATAAAGGGGAGGGGGTGGGACAGTCCCCCAAAAAACCAGGACAAGAGGTGCCATGCCTGGTAAAAAACAGACCATATATAAACCCTAGGGGAAAAATATATAACATACTGCATGAGATCAAGTTACTTTCAGTTAAAAAAAAAAAAACAAAAAAAAACCATAATATGTAAGTTTCCATGTTAACAGAAAACATGGGGCATTCAATCCATTCGTTTGGATCACTGATATAATTTATATTTATAGTTACATAAATATAAATTTATAAAGATGCTATTACATTTGAAATATCTATACCATTGTTCATTTTAAGTATACAAAGTTTAACAAAAAAACCCTCCCATGATTACACTGTTTACCAGGCAGAACCTGTGTCAGGCTCTTGCCCACAATTAGACATTAGGGCAAGCAGAAAGGGCCTTCCTTGTGCTTTCAGCTTCTCATTCAGCTGGTGAATCCATATATTAAAACAAAAAACAAAACCGACCTTTGTTCCCTGTAATCGACTGCCATGAGAATCATCACTTTAATAATTACAGTTGCAGTTTTTCCTTTTGCATTGCTCCCTAGTTGCTGAGGACCACCCTACTGAATGCAGCAGTTGTGGCCGTTGGTTTCCTTGAACTTGAGACGCATCTTGGGCCGGTATTTCTCGAGGTAAAGCAGTTGTTTGGAGTTGAAGGCTCCACGTCGCTTCCTAAAAACAGAAGAGGAGCGAGCGGGTCATTTAAAATTCATTCACAAGTGCGTGAATCTTTTTGCACCAGAGCCAGATCCACTTACTGTCGGATGAACTGCACAGCGTCCTCGTACTTCATCCCACACTCAATTAAGGCCAGAGCCACCAAAACAGGTGCACTGAAAAAAAAATAAAGGGAGGTGAAGATCAAGAATGTGGGTTGGAGTTTGGCTCAGCATTCCTGCTTGTCATATGAGCAAGCTCAGTTACCCTACAGGCCCCTCAGATAAAAATAAGCTTGACATCCATGAGAAAAGAGGAAGTGCATGTTATAACACTCCATAAATGTCCCATAAACTGGATTAATGGGAAAATTCATATTATACATTGACAAATAAGAAAATCTGGCAGCTAAGAGGATTCAATAGTAGTTTCATATGATGAAGAAATGGATTATTTTAGTTAACTACCATCCTGCTGCGACTAAAAAATTGCTGAAATACTGTCAGCCTGCAGTTCCCCTTGTGTACACTACTTTATATTGGACACTAATGTCACAAAGGGAAGGCCAAAATCATGAAACATCTTCAGATGTATCTGACATTAAAAAGCCGTTTCTGAAAGCCATCTCACTTTTTTTTTTATAAACACCTATTTTAGATTATTTACAGCTATCCACATGGCAGTCAGGTATTCAATGCTGTGACTTTCAGTCTTAGGGAGCATGCAAGCACATTCACCTTCCACCATTCTACAGGGGACAGTCATCCCAAACACCTGACTTCCCTCCACCTGGTACAATTGCTGTACATACCGGCCTAGTCCTGCAACACAGTGCACAGCAATGCAACATCCTGGCTCTTCACGGAACTTAACCTTCAGCAAGTTCAGCCAATCATCAACAACCTGGGTTGGGGGAGGGGCACCATCATCAAAGGGCCAATCCTAGAAATGAAAAATTATATTTCAGGGCACTGAAAAGAGAAATTCCCATATAATAAAATGACAAATGCTTCAATATGGTTACAAATAAGACTAATAAAATACACACTATAAAAAGAATGTGCTACCCAATTGAGCAATTTCACAAGACGTTTAAAAACGTGACTAAAACTTCAAATCTAGGGGAAAGATTACAGGGATTCCCAACCAAGCAGGACTGTACCATTAGTGAAGCAATCATTCTTTGCAGAAATGGTTGCCACCATTTTCCAGTGTTATCCAGCCAATGGGGGTAATCACCCGAGGTCAGGTAACAGTAGGCTGGTGAAAGGGTTATCAAAGTGCATGTTCATAGTGAGGTGTTCCACAAAGATTTGTAGCATGAAGTATCATGACAATTTGAATAAGAAGTGAAACAGATGAAGGAGGGAAGAGAGAAATAAAAGGATCAGCACCTCCTTCAGAATGTTCCCCAAAGACATCTGGGTTCATCTGCAAGTCAATCATTTTGGTTTGTCACTAAACAAGAACTAAGCCATAATCTCCACAGGCCCCGAGGATAGTGGGTGACATGCAGTGACAGGCTAACACTGCAGGCTGCAGCCCTGGGGGTCTGGCCCTGGAAGTCACAAGCTGTATTGCCTTGTGCAATGTTGACATCTCTTTTCTCACGGGTCTGACTTGGGCACCCAGCCACACTGGGGATTGAGGAAGAGGTTTCTGGTCTCGTGCCAGACTGACACAGACCTCCAGGAGGGAGAGTAAGATAAAGACCGACATGGCAAAGCAAGAAATGGAGGAAAGCAAGCAATGTTGCCATCTGAATAAAAGAATCGCGGGAGTAACAATTTGCATAATTGAGAGACACTGGTTTTGTAGTATTGCCATCATTTTTGTACTTGACATTCATCACTTAATGTGATGGCCACATTTGCCCAATACAAATACAAAGGACAGTGATGGAAATCAACCAGACAGTGATGGTCTAGAGCAGGGATATTCAATTCAGGTCCTCAATTCCAAATACAGGCCTTGTTTTCAGTTCTCCCAGGTAGTTAGTTTAATAATTACTGATTCTGATTGTTCAGAGGCTTCACACCTGGCTCACAGGTGAAGGAAGGCTGGAAAACCAGCAGGGCTCGGCGCTTGAGGACCTAGAGTTGAATAGCCCTGCTCTAGAAGGATCCCAACCAGCAACACCCATGTCTAACCAGGAAATGTAGCCACCGACTTCATGCAGATTTTAATGGAATGGTAAGGAAGGCTCTAGACAAACAGGATTCCTGGAATACCCATTGTCAGCTGTTTACCTGTAGTAGAGGCTAACTTCCCAAAGCTCCCCAGGCTTTGAGTATACATATAAAGAGCTGTACACCTCAAAGGCACGCACACACCCAGTAAAAAGGCAAACATCAAAACATACCCAGCACTTCATGATAGATAAACTAATTCAAATAACCTGACATACCCAAGAGTGCCTTTGAGGACCAGGTCTTAGTGAAACTGCTACAATGCCACAAGTCAAAGTTCATTGCGGGGAGGGAGCTGAACTCACCCTGATTGGACATCTGCGCTTACAGAACAGTTAAAGGAACAGGACCGTAACCAGTAACATCGCAGCACAATGTGAGCCCACTTTGTATAGGTGCACAACAGTAATCCTGTTCACTCTGCCGGCATATTTACCTACATGAAGGTGCGGCTGCGGAGAGAGACTGAGACACTGTGTCCATGCTTATGTCACTACGGTAAATAAGCAGGCTCTTTGAATGACCTCCAACTTGAGGTTAGGACACATTCCAGCCTTGGTCAGGACACTTAAGCCATCTCTCCTAGATAGAAGTCCACGAGCAACAAAAGCCACCCTGTGTTCATAATTAAGACCATTTTCAAACAGTAACAAGTCCTCCTAAACTCCCCAGAATCACTTATTCTCAGAGGTGGAAATTTCAGGTCCAGAAAGTACAAATCCAGACCAGGATTTTGTTTCAACCAACCAGTGGAGTACCGTGTGACTCTATGCTCAACTGGTTGGTTGAAACTAAATCCTGGTCTGGATTTGTACTTTCTGGACCTGAAATTTCCACCTCTGCTTATTCTCCCTCAGAAGATGCACTGCATAAGACATGCCATAATGAATTTCAGAACAGCACTGCAGAACATTTCACTTACTGTTCAGAATGTTCATAAAACAAAAAAGTGAAGGTGTGTGCCCACTAACCAAGATCCTGCACGTGAAATTAAAGCTGCAGTGTAGGCAGAAAAGGCCTTAACAGCCAGACATTCTGTCCTTATACTGCCTCTATAAAGCAGCACTTTGATGAGCTTACAGTGAAGCAACCCTGGACCATTAACTAACCATGACACCACGCTGTCACTCCGCAGTGACACCCAGCAAGGAGGAGGGCAGGAACCGGCCAAGTAACCAGTGCTGTGGTGGTGGGGGAGGTGCAGGGAGCAGAGATATGAAGGATATAACACTATGGGTTACATCGACTATTCAGGGAACCAATTAAAAAACAAAATAAAAATTACAGGTGGGAGTAAAAACCCAGCATGTGCACATCCATTAATTTGTAAAAAAATTCATAAAGCGTTGAGGGCACCCTCTTTCGTTTCACGTGCATGACACTCCGCTTTACAGAAAAGGCTGGAGGAGAACGGAGGGGCAGCGACACTTGGGCCAGGGCACAGAGTCTCGCTTATGTAGGTCAGTGCCTCCTTGTGAGGTGCGAGTTCAGGACGGCAGCCAAGAAAAACAGAATGGACGGTCGCTGTCCTCGAGTGACCCGGAAGTCGGCAGGGATCTCAAGCAACAGAAGTCCAGACTTTGCGGTGGAAAGAAGCAATACCTTTTCTTGGAAGAGACGTACAATCCGTGATGCAGGAATTTTGTAAAGCACATTAAAACGCCAGTACATTAACAATTAGTGATAAATTCTCAGCGTTCCATCTTTATAATCCACTTTGAAACCTCCAGAAAGACAAACTCACAGGTTTCCACAGCACAGCGTGTCGGTTAACAGTGGTGACAAAAACAGGCTACTCACAGTCCTGTGGTCTGTACTACGAACCGGGGCTACTGGCTTATCAGGGCAACTTGTCGGATTTAAGGTAGTCTGGGCAAATTGTAACCGAATGAATATTAAGCCCATTTAAACTGTGGTATCTTAAATCCGACAAGTTACGCCAGTAACCCCGGTTCGTAGTACAGGCTACTGGTCTTGAGTATTTGGAGTTTAATTCAGCTGAGCTTATGGCTAGATTAATATAGACACATTCTGGCCACGATGATACATTCATGTGTTTCTGCACTCAGGGTACTGGAGGTGGAATTTACACTAGGGATGGGCCGATCCACATTTTTTCAGTTCCGATCCGATTCCCCTCTTATACCACAAGCTGCAGTGAGTTCGCAAGACAGTCCAGGTTAGCGACTCCCAAATCACCCATTGCTTTATTTTGTCTCGCAGAGTTGCGTGCGCTTGAAGCGAGATCGTCCATTAAATGCTATTCCCACCTCTCAAAACTTTATTTTACAAAGATTACAAATCACTGTGCTACTGGTTTCTGTTAAAAGCGTAAAATACTCCCAGATCGTCACGTCTCCTTACGCCCCTCGTATTGCGAAGGGCATGCATATGACGTCACAGCTGGCGGAAGTCACTGTACTCACCCACCGAGTAGCAAAAAAGCGTTAGCGTTCGATTTGAATACAGCAAAAACACACATGTAAAATGGGAAAGAGCTATTGTGCGATTGATACAAATAGATTTAACACGAAATAGGAGCCATCTTTTTAGAGATTGCCAAAAAATAAATAAGTAAGTATAGGACGTGGATCGGTCACGCATGGCCGATACCCGATCCGTCAAATAGGTCTGGATCAGCGCATCTCTAATTTACACTGAATAATTTTTGCTAAGATTACTTGACTTCATTTGAAAGAACATTAAAAGAAAAATAATTAGCTGCATCTAATCAATTTTTGGCATCTTAATTTTGCCTTTAGTTGTTGAATCACAATGAAATTAGAATTAGGTGTGTTTCAAATGGACATTAAGTTTAGTAAAACACCCCTTCATTACTAACACAAAACACAGCTGCGGCACATTAAATGAGCAGAGTGTGTTCATTTTGGGAACATCTGAAGGAAAATCATCTAGACTCTGATCAGGATCATGATGGAAAAATTGCCATCTTACACCTCTAAGCATGTCTGACACATATCGGCACCAAGCCAAACACTCTCCCAGCATCTATTAGTAATGTCATGCATCCATGCATGGATCACAGTTTCGATTGGTTGAATGGCTTGTAACGAACATACACCATAACACTGCTCTGAAGTTCCTTCTCGGCTTCACTGCTGTGTGAGAACGTAGGCAGGATCACAGAAGTGGGGTTTTAGAGAGCATGTGGGCTAAAGATGTCTCCCCATGTTCAATATCTCAGCCCAGTCTGCTGAGCATGGCACCGACGCATTTACTCTTCACCCGTTAATCCTAAAGACCTAAAAGTCAAGACTCGCATAACCCAATGCTCTAGAAAACAAGCACAAACATACAGGGAAAACGGCCTTACCAGGACTTCAATCCCTTCTTTTTCCACAGGGCCCTTGTCATAGGTGGCCTCACAGACCCGAACCAGGGTGTTCACCTCAAATTTTTTCAGTTCCTAAATTGGGTAGCAAGGAAAGAGGGGTTGGGGGGTGAGACTCAAATGTCATGTGACCTTTTCTTTTTCGCACAACTGAACACTTCATGCCAAAGCCCCAACCACTGTGGTTAATGTATGGCGACTCTTGCTGGACGCACCTCAGTGAATTTGTTGAGTGTGGCATTGGTTGGGTTGTGGGTGATGAGAAACCTCATGCACTCATAGGAGATCTCGACGGCGGCAGGGCGGTTCATGTTGGCGAGAAGTCTTAAAAATATACGTATATATAAAAATAAATAAAATGTCTAAAAAGGGAGACTTTGGCTCAGATGTTTAAGGACTCCTAGTAGACTTTAAACAAAACAAAAAAAAAAAAAACATACAAGTCGGGAAAATTTGGGTATTTGGACTAGACCGCTAAAGGAACTCAAAAGGTTAAAAAAGGAAATAAAAATTCCACAATACTCCACGGATAAAACAGGGAGGGGGTAGGGGTCAATCCTTCAATCATCCAATCAGATTATTGCAGCAGATTACCCCATTCAGGAGAGGTGTTCAGATTGGCTGATGACAGAAAAGGCAGGCAGTAAACTTTGTATTGGTCGTATTTAATGCCTGATCTGGGGACAGGGGAGAAGTAGTTCTGGCCAAGGACAACGTGTGAATCCAGGGAGGGCAGTGGGAGAAAGCAGCTACAATCCAAGGGTGCTGGTCTTCAGGGAGGCTTCTGGGTGGCGTAGTCCTCCTTGGGGCCGATGGTTCACTCGTCCGCAGAGGCGACGTGCTGTGCCTGGCAGAAGTCTCCGCTGACACTCACAAACGCCATAAATGGGCGGCCAAAATCAACACAGTAACTCTGCAAGAATGAGAAGAGAGGCAACACATTAGATCAGTGTTTTCCAATCTGGTGCTGGGGGACCCACAGCCGGGCCACGTTTTTGTTTGCTCCAAGCTCTCTGTCAGACAGTCCACATTTTTGCTCCCTCCCAGCAAAAAATGTGGACTGTCTGACTCATGAAGGACCGGATTGGAAAACACTGCGTTAGAGGGGTAAACAAAATTCAAACTCATTGCACCAGGAAGCATCAGTATGGAACCCTGAGTTGGGGGTGGAGACAAATTGAGTGCAGGACCAAGGTGTGCAATACATGCAACTATGGGATGTAGCGGCTTCAAAGCTAAAAAAAGCTGCAACTTCACTTTTACTGTCGGACAAATACGTCAAGTACTGTAAATACAGAGGTGTTGCAATTACACAGGGCAACCTCATTACCACAAGGCTGTGCACGAGGTACTTTCACAGAAGCAGAAGCACCGAATACCAGCATAAAGTGAAACAATCACACCAGCTTGAGATGTGATATTTTCCAGTCACTACACCCCGTAAACTGTCTTTGTGGTAACACCTTCTCCGAAGCCACCCATCAAGGACCGAGAACAGCCCCAGTGTGCAGCCGGCCACCTTTACATGCAGCTCGCCGGGAGCTGAACTCCCTGAACTGCAGCGAAGTGTCAAAAGCAGGCACAATTTGAGGATAACGACAGAGCAAAACTTCAAACCACTGGCACCGCTTTCATGGTCCCACGCGTTTCACATGCTTGTCAGAAAGAGCACACACCCCGGACCCAGACAGCTTCTGCCCCCAGAGAATCCACAGCACCCTCCTGAAAAAGAAAGTATGAACCCCATCCTAAAGCAAAAGCCCAGTCACTCTCAGCAGATTCACCCCAAGCAACACCTGTCTGAGGAGCCTTAAAAATAAAAAATACAGGTCAAAGGCTTCAAGAAATATAAAGAAGTCCATTCAAGCAAAAAGAAAAAGTGTTTTTGATCTTGATAAAAAGGATCATACACTATGCTATTCATAATCTGTTAGGTCTCCATTCTCAGTGTCATTGCAGGAAGTAACAACTAACAGCACAGTAGTGTCCTTTCTTCACAAAAAAACCCATGTATATGAACTGTGCCCCAAGACACAGAAACAGAAATATCATATGTACACAAGCACTTACATTCTGAAATACACCAAGAACATGACTGACTGTACAGACAATCATGAAAGGTGGAACACAGCATAAAACTGTTTACTTTTTGTGAGAACAGGGAGGCTGCACATTCAGCCTAGGGGCCCTGTTCCTAAAAAGTACTCACCATTCCATAGATACAAACAGGCCACATTTTTAGAGGCATGGTGTCAATTACTTCTCGATGTCCTTATTGGCTAATCCTTCTCCACTCAGAAGTATTTAAAAAATAAAAAAATAAAAAAGCCAATAGTGCCATTTACGGCCTGATAAACTGAACAAAATATGCAGCAACCTACCTAAATATTTTCCCTACTGAGACATGTCAAACAAAATGTTCACAAACTTCACACTTGCATAAAAGCATATGGCACAAATCCACTGCATACATAATATTAAACAAATTAATGAGTGGTGTGATTATGCATCCACCACTACCACACACACAAGATCCAAAGACCTTTGGCATACCAGCTATCTCAAATATAAGCACAGGGCATGGGGGAGGGTCATATTTAACATGATAAAAATGGCATTTTCATGAAACCCAGAGAACAAAAGAAACCCAAACAAGAGATAAAGTGCAATTCAAAATGAAAAACTGTCCCAAAGGATTCAATATCACCCCCCAAAAAAATGCATCAAGGATTTTTTTTAAAAGGGTGAATACAATGAGACAGCAATAACAAATGCAAATGCAACTGAAAATAAAAACTACATCTCCATGTACCAAGAGGACACAGTACAGTAGTTTTTAATCTTCACCTTCCAGCATGAGTATTTAATAATTACTCAGGTACAGAAACTTGAGGATGAGGCTATACAACAGAAGCAGTTTCAGAAGCGATGCAAACAACTTGAATGGCAGGTAGTAATGAAAAGAACAGTAAAACACTGCAGGGAAAGTCCTGCAGATCCCACACTCATGAATATACTGAATGTAAAATCACTAACTCTTCCGTGGAGGTAAGCTTTCAGGTGCTATGTTCTTCAAAACCTCCAAGCCACCTGCAGAAGAAAAAAAAAAAAAAAAAAAAAAAAAAAACACTTCTACATCTAGACCAAGAGGCAGAAGTGGATGACCTGGTGGCAGCCAGCCAAGTCCTTGGCCCAGAGAACAGAGAGTGTGGGGTGGGGGAGATAGGGGCTCAGCAAATGCTCCCACCCACCCCACAGCAGAATTTCCACGAAAAATGGGCTGACGACTGGATCAAACAGGCAGCAACTCCCTTGTGCTACAGACTGACCCAGTTTGCACTGGCTGATGTTTATGGTCACATTGCAGAGGGTTGGGATGATACAGACTCACCAGGCATGGTTACTGCTGGTGAGAGATAATGTGGTTGTTTTTCATAATATGCACAAGTAGGGTTCATTTAATTTAACGTTTAAAAAAATTGAAGGAATACTTAATCCCATAAACGGCTGAACAGCCAGACTCTTAAACCAGGCTCAAGAGCCAGCCAGCCTGCAGAGTTATACTCAGGGGGCTCTATGCCATTCAGGCTACAAGCACCCCTCGCATTACAGTAGTTTGGTCCCAAAGTCCATTTGCTCAACACCTGAGCACAAGGGCATGACTTCATCGGAAGTAATGCCAGAGGAAACTACAACAGGGCAGAGTACAGGATGAGTTTACACTGGCCCCAATTCCACTCAACCAAACCAACTGCCTCTGACTTCCTGTCTCTCTCACATTACCCAAATGCCTAATCATAGGAGGAGAGTTCCAACTCCAAGCACCCCTGCCATGCTGTGGTATTTAGGGACGGGAGCCAGAGCTCTCTATGGCAAGAGAAGTCTCAACAAGCAGCAACATCCTTCTTGCTCTCCCACGTACAATTGTACGCACGTGTCCTTGCCTCAGGAAAGTAGTGAGTCAGTTTCCAGAATGACTAACATTTCATTTACACAACAGCATGTTTGCAAAGCAAATTGTGCAAGGCGGCTATCACTGAGGAGGACATGCAAAGGGCTCTATGACCTAGAGTGATATAAAAACACTAAATCAGAGTTCTACAACATACATGCTAAGCTTAGTTTTTCCCAACACCAGTCATTTCTATAAAGATCATGGCCACCATATCAATGAAGGATGATGTGGTCCTGAAAGAGGGAATTCTGACATCAGCCAGAGCAGGGACATAAGTAGCACATTGCCTCTGCTCAGCGACATGCCGTTCCAGAAGGGGATTAGAATCCCTCATCGTTGCCACAGAGACACCTGGCGCACAGACTGCTCACAGATCTGAATCACTCTTAATCCTCCGGAGACATTAGGGGCAGAACAACACCAGGCCTGTGGGTATCATTAGCAACAGAAACCATCAGCACAGCAGGAAACAACCTCCAACAAGTTGAAGAGGGGCACACTTAGCTCAGCAAGAATGGCAAATGATAGGCATTTCCAAAGCAGACCAAATCTTGTTTCATGACATGCTGATACAGGGACTGGAGGGTCAAGTGAATTTGCATCAAGGAAACAATTTTACAGGTTAAAATTCAAGCTAGAAAAGCAAATGACTTACCCCTCAATCTACCTACAATGAAACATAAGGCATGTTTCAGGACCAGATCTCTCATCAAAAGTAATTTAAAACTAACCATATCCGTAGAAACATCATGCTTTATTAAAACACAAGCCCAGTAGTTCCCAAAAACATGGGACTGCTCAAGCTTGATAAAATCAAACATCATTTAATAGGCAACATTTAGATTTTCTATTTAAAATATGACATTCAATGCAATGCAGGAACCTTTGCGTACAAAAGGATGTCAATCCACTGCTGATGATAACAGAAATTTCTCCTTATCAGTGAATTCACCTAAACCAGAAGCCAGGGACAGTGGAAGGGAAAAATAAGTTCATGAGCACAGAGATGCAACACATCCTACTGGAGCTAACCTTGTAACACTTGATGTGAGGCAGCAATACTACCTGAGAAACTTGTCTGCCATTCTTCCATCGCAACGCTTGGCCAAGATTCTAAAGGTCTTTCTGAGACCTGAGTTAATATGCATTACTTGATCGCTACACTTGTTGAAACAGGTATCTACAGTATCACTGATGCAGTGCTTCAATGCAAACACACAACCAGGTCGATTCACACATACATATGCATTTCTGACAGCCTGCTAATGCTGCTCAGCTATGAGAATGTTTCAAAAGCTCAACATTAAGCATTTTAAACTGTTCTGTATAACTATCTCAAATCGTGCAGTTCAGTTTGTCATTTGAGCCCAAGGTCAGTCAACCAATAATCATCAGATGGGCTGTTGTCAGAAGAGGCAATGGAAAGAGCAATGGAAGTCACGCGAAACAAAGTCAGAGTATCTACAAGGGGCATCAACAAGATGGTGTTCACACCAAACTAAGATGCACTGCCAGCAGTTCTAAACCTGCCAGACCCGATTACCTGAGGGACCACAAATCAAAAGCCTGTTTTGACTCCACATCAACAAACATTTAAGACTGACTGACCCTCATCTGAGATAATTACATAGCTGCTTTCTGTGTTGCTATAAAAACAAAAGGGAGCAGGAAAGTGCCTACCACTTCTCATGCAGAGCTGTGGTAATCACAAAATATGTAAATGTCTTATTTAGTGAGTCAACAATGAAGGGGAAGCCAAAGGAACAAAAAAGTGGTAGATGCATAATACCTTAAGAAGCAGCATGATGTCACATCATTCAGGTGATTCACCTTCATTACCAAAATGGACTGACCTTCTACATTCTCACAAACCTGACAATATACAACCCTCAGCAGGACAATAGACCATAGAGGTTGCAGGGGGCATAGAGACCACGCTGCTTCTCTCTACAAAAACAGATTACAGATATACAAGACAAACTAGATACTAAAATGACGCAATGTTGGCCATCTTACTTGATCATAATGGGATTTTTGTAAGAAATTAGATTAACCCTCAACATGATACAAACCGACCTTTGATATGGAAAAGGGTGATATTATCACTTTGCTTGCCTCCTCAAAAGGAGGCTCTCATGCTTTGCACTTCATATACTTGAAAACGTTAAGTCATCCAGCATCCTTGCACACCTAACAATGGATTCAAACATGAATCTGTAATCTTGTTTGTTATAGATTTACAATACAGATAGTAAAGTGTGGCTGAAAGAACAGATCAACAAGAAGCAAAAATATGTCCGACAGTCATTGTTTGCAGCCTAGGTCATGTCCCTACTGTAAGCCCCCCCCCACATATACACATAATATATGGTAGGCCAGGGTAGAATTTGAGGGGGCATACTGGGGAAGAAAAACCACATCAGCAGAATCCAGGTCAACACCACCTTCATGCAACTGTTGGATAGTTTTCTAAGTGCACGTCTGGTAACAAACCATGGAGCTTCTTCCAGTCACCTGGTACAAGGCTCATTTTTTTCACAGTGCAGACACAGCTGTCACTCGCACATACTGGTCACACTCTCGCAAGGGCTGTGGCAGTTTACGATCAAAACTGTTACAAGCCTGCCCCTCAAAGCTCTGAAAAAACTTTAGACATCACCCAGAAAGCATGTCTAGTCTAGCAAGATTCCGAAGAAACAATTTATGATCATGAACAGATTAGAAACCTTCAACATGAAACTCTAGAAATGCAGTTTAGAAAACAAAGAACCCCCAAGTATATGGTACAAACTACTATACAAGGTGACAAATGCAATTCAGCATGCATGCTATATTACAGATGTTTAAAGAAAAGTGGCTCTTTAATTAGTGGCTCAATGATTGCAAAAAGGGGAAAATGCTTAAGGCCATCTGACACTGCATCAAGTTAACTAGAAAAGTGAGATTTTAGTGTATTCAGTACTACCAAATACAAACTAGGCCATTTGGCACTGAGTTCAGCAACAAAACACCACACCACATGTAAATTCAAATACAAGTGCACTTCTACTGTAACATTGGAAAAATAGTATCCCAAGCCTTAACTGTAAAATTTTGTCTCTCTTAAATGGCACAGATAATTACACTAATAGCTATCAATAAACCTTGGAGCTGAGACAACCATCTACAACCTGCATGCATAGTTCCTTGATCTGGGCATTCAGTCCTCCACAGATGCAAGACGAGACCACCATCTACTAGTCCCACCATGGCTCAGTTCGATTGCAATAAATTAGAACCTACTTGAACAGATACATGTACCGTGGGTTCCAATGATTATTTCTACAAGTTCTCCCCCCCTTGTCTTTCAAACTTTACTTTTCAAACTACTAAAAAGCAGTAAATGTTCGCCGTTAGCTATTCAAACTTTAACACGATCAGCTACCAAACTGAAGATAACTCAAATATGATACAAGCGGGAACGTTAGGCTGCCTTGGATCAGACGGATTATTGTGTTCCCCAAAACGAATTAGATGATTTGTACCATATCCATGGAAGGGTACAGAACGACTCGAGTATTGCGTTTTATCATCCTCGCGTGCACTGATAAGCCAGTCTCTAAAGAACGTGTATCCAAAAGGCTACCGCAGCCACAAGTGTCATAAGGTGCCAGCTGTTACACCTTAGAGTCAGGGGCTTAACCTGAATCTTCTTCAGCAAAATAACCAGCAGCGCAAACGGATAAGCCTCGCTGGATAAAAGCCGCTGTGACAAATTACAAGACGCGATAACAGCTTTTGCACTCAAAGCAAGACAGCAGCTTGGACGGCACTTGTGGTGGTGGTGGTGATGGGGGGGGACTTCCCAGTCACGCCTTCACGAATCGGCTTCGCAAGGGAAGGAGTTAACTAGGCCTCGGCGTGCAGGGCAGCCGCTGCGAGCGTCGAAGCCCCGACTTCCAGAGTCGGAGACGCCGGCGCGTGTTACAGCGCTGTTTGGTCCCACACCGACAGGCCGGAAAAAACGGGTTACAGATGCTCGTTAAGCCAAGGAGGAGCACGCCGCCTTCGGGCGTTACGGGACGTAGCGCACCGTACCGTTTCACAACCGCAAAGGAGGAAAAAGGAGGCGGCCGTTTCCACACACCGTCAGCTAGTCATATCCGGGAGATCCCTGGGGGTGCGCCCAACCAGCCCTGAACTGGTCCAGTATAGGACGTAGAAACGTCCTTTACCTGGTCACATACACGGGGACCTCAGATAGAACAAAGGCAACGAGGACGGCGAGCAGCACAGGCACATGCGTGACAGTAACTGACACAAAAGGCAGCCAGCGCGTGCCGAATGTCACGGGGCAATGAAGCCGCCTGAGGAGATTATTGGCATTTTAGCACGATTAGCAATGATGGACAGTAAGGGAGAGAGACAGCGACACACGCTGCCGTTACACATAGCCACCACGGCAAAGGGCTAGTCTAAGAAGAAAGCAGCCAGAAGGTCTTATCTGACTGCGAGATATGGAATACTTAGCATTTATTGAAGAACAAAAGTCCCAGTTCAGTCTTCAAGCTAGCCAATTATGCTGCTGTGGCAGTATCATTGTGCGGACAGCACCGCAAGTCAAACTCTCTATATTGTACCAAAAAAACAATGTTTAGAGGATACAAGTAACCAAGTGTGTCTTAACAGCCCATTGCGAATAAACGTCAAGCTTCAGAAATACGGAATGACCAACAAACTGCTAACAAAATCCTTTATATTGGTATCACAAGCAATGGCTGCCGCCGCTCCTACTCCAACCATTCACGGCTTGCACGCTAACTGACTGGTTAGCCGCCGTCCCCGGACCAGCTAGTTAAAGTTCACGACTAGCTCCGAATTCATTTTACTCGTTCGGCTAGTATCGTCGGAATGTACTTAAGAAAATGAGCGCGTCGCGTACTTACAAAGAGCAGGCTGTACATTGAAATCCCGTGACAACGACAGAGAAGGCGGAGAGACAGCGATGGGCGCTGCTGGGCCTCTTTTTGTTCCCCTTTTGAGTTCAATGCGACTCGCCGAGGAGGAGTTAGCGGAGCGCTACGTCTCGCCGTCCGCTGACGTCACGGACACGCAACGTGGCCTCTGACGAAATGGTCGGTGACGAAGGGGCTGGTCGTGTAATTTTTATGGAAATACTGCGATAGTCTTGGAGCAATCATGCAATTATGGACCTCTGCGCATTATTATTATTATTATTATTATTGTTGTTGTTGTTGTTAATTATTTTATTAAGAATGAATTATTGTTTCTCTGTTTATTCATTAATAGTGCTAATTTTCTACTGTTTCACTCTCACGCAAAATTTAATAAAGAGACAGTAATTAGATTGTTCTTTAAGATTTTCCAATAAAACGTGACGAATGGTTTTGACCATAGGTTACAGCTATTGTATTGACTTTCAAAGAAATCGAAGAGGCGCATGTTTAGATAAAACGTGGAAGTCATAAAATGAAACATTTTTTGTTATAAAATGAAAAGCACATTTACGTTTTTTAATGTAGGCCTATCACCCAACTCTGAATGAACTGGATAAATATTAGTTATAAGTGGTCTACATTGACCGACGTGTGAAGCAAGTTGCAGCACACGATGATACTGTTCCACAATAATAAAATACCCGTAGTTAATAAACCTGTGCTTCGAATAATTTCTTGTACATGTTCGTCAGAGTTTGCAGCTGTTTTAAAACTGATTGTTTCGCGGTCAAATTGTAGCGTTGATCTCCAATAAATCCGTTGGTTTCATATATAGTAGCTGCACTGTGTCTGTATAGCTGAAGCAGCCAGTGTATCCTGAACATCGCAAGCCATCTGTCCAAAGGCTTTTTAAAAACCGGTTCACATATGGTGCGCCGATTTCCCTGGAATTTCCACGGAGTTAACTATTGTGTCCTTTTTTTTCCATTGTGGATCCATACCATGACGTACACGGAAGGTTATTTTCCATCTCCTCCGTTTGCGCGATAAAATATGACAATCCACGTATAAATTTCCGCTTCGAAAAACCGTCAGAACCAAATGCCTCCATCATTTTTGATGTCGCATATAGTAATGCATTTTTTACTAAATACATAAAACAGATGGTAAAGTTACGGTTATAATTTTTTCAGAGAAGAACCAGAAGCTAAATAATTAAAAATGCACCCTTTTTGCAGCATAACAATCTCGATGTTGCATTACTCTACATAATATACATACATCAATAAAAAAAATATTATATTGGTTTTGTGGATGTGAGACAATGGAGTTACTTATAAATAGAGAAAACATTAACACAGTTTTTTTTCTCACGCAGTATAGCTTCAAGTTGAATAACAGGTCACAAAATTTAGCGACTGTGGTATTTTAGTAGGCATGTCAACTCTTCTAACAACAGATTTAGAAGCAATCGTACACAAGGTTAAATACAGTATATCAAGCTCAGTTGTAAAAAGCACTTATCACGTAAAAAGTGTCTTATTGCTTTGCGTAGGGTAGAGTTTTAGTCAGAGGACCATGCAGTTTTTCAAATTCTAGAATTATTGAAACTGTAACCACTGAAATACATAAGGAATTATTGTGGCGTGGTGCGTGTTATGCAATAGTGTCTTCTTACAAGATAGAATTACATTAACGGCGTTTAAGACAATATGAATATGTGATGAATGACTAAAATGTGAGCACTCACGAAGATTATATATCTATCACCCAGGAATCGCTTTATTTTGAATGTAAGGTTTAGTTGCGTGAGGTATACTACAATGGCACACATAATTGCATTCATCTAAAATACGCAATAACAGTCGATAGGATTTCAGAACCCAGCTAAATATGTTTCAATGGACCCATGCCTCTCCTACGGTCCTATCTCACCCTCGGTACCAGTTAACTCAGGAGTTAAACTTTAGCTTTATTCTCCCTCTAGTGCTGAATTTGAGAATTGCAAATTACAAGTTTCTGAGATGTTGCTTGAGGCATTTGAGATAGAAATAGTTCTGAGGTATTCCATAAATTCAAACATCTCACAAAAATAAAAAGCAATAAACGTACTAATCTTCTAATAACGTATGGCAATGTAATGTAAAGCATAAAATATGCCTTCAGTTGGATATATGTCCAATGTTCAAAAGCAAAATGACACAGATATACTGGAAAGTATTTATTGATGTGGTATCAATACTATCAAGTTCTGTAGATTTAGTATAAACAGACAAAACATTTTCAATCAAACAAGAGTGCATTTTATACCCAAAATCTATTACATACAGTGTATGCAATGACACTTCACAAAGGAAAAAAAACAAACAATTGTGTGATATGTAGTACAATAAACACGAGAGGAAAAATAATGTACACAAAAGATTATCCTTCACAAACAATGCTATAGTGCTAACTATCAATGTAAATGCACGGTACTTGTCATTGTTGTTAAATACTGTATATAACTTTTGGGCTTCGGCAATCATTTTGGCCATTCCTGCTATCTCAGCACATATGTATAAATATCACTTTTATTAATTTCATGTGCAAATGGGAATTTCCACTCAATTTTAAATAAAAAAATACAATATCCTGTAAAACTCAAGCAAGAGATATAATTTCCTAGTTTTTGTTTATTTGCAAAAGCACAGTTTTTCTTATATGGTTTTTTTTTTCTCCTTTTTGTTATGCACACTTGTGGTAGAGTGTATAACAATGCAACACTGCATCCAGTCTCGTTGGAAAATAAAACACAAGACATAATGGGAACATGGAAATCCATCCTGCGTTTTCATAACAGAATGGATATATAAAAATATATAAATGATATATAACAAGAAAAAACCTTGCCTTGTCGAAAGGGACTCACAACAATCATCATTTACAAACTTTGTGTTGATGGTGGATTGGAGAACTAGGCTGAAGGTAATGTCAAACAGTGCATTAACTGTACAAAAATACTGTTTATGAGGACAAAGTTCACTCTCATTGTCAGGCTTCCGGGGCGGGGGGGTGTAAAAAATCTATAAGTGAAATTCTTTCCTGTGCACTAAACTGGAAACTTTGCAATGGCCAAAAATGGAAAGTATCAAATATACAACAATGATTTAATTGTACCTGACCCACATAAGCAGGGGGTGTATTTCTATGTTCTGGGTACCAGGTGGTAAACAGATGAGTGTCTTTCTGTTTATTGGGGATCAAGCCAGAGCTGATATATGTTTTTTTTTTTAAGTTATTAGCAATGATACTGGTGGGACTGGGTCATACTGGAACATCATAAAAACAACTGGCAGTTCATTCACAACTCTATGTAATAATTATCCAACAGAATAATTAGCCTGCAGAAACTACAAGGCTGTCCAGATATTAAATCTCTGGCAGAAATGGCAGTGGAGCCCCCCCCCCCTAACTTCAGACAGTCAGGATGTGTCATACATCCAGTCCACACCTTTTCCTGAGCTTGCATGCTGCAGGATTGTGGCATACACAGCACCATTTCAACACAGGGTAAAAAAGGTACATTGCTTATATATACTTGAGAAACATATAATGTGCAGAGGGCTACTGAACGGGCTGTGCCTTCGAAACGCTTTGCTGATAGTCAGGCGCAAAGGTTAGGGAGATGATGGACCTGAAAAAGATCAGCACTGCGATTCAATCCAGCAGAGACCAACACTAGACACCCAACAAAAAACCATTGTCCAGACTGTTCCTTCTCAGTCAAAAATGTCGAGCTCTCTAGTGAAATATGCAGGCAGGCCGAACCAAAATCTTGCAGAAAGTGGGGTTAATAAGGACCCAACACAGAAACAAGCATGGGTGACTGATAAGATGCTTAGTTATTCTAACTTAGTGGCAGGCACCTCTTAAGGATCCTGTTCAGCATTGCTAAACATCTTTTTATATGAGATCACTGTAATATTTATCGCACATACGATGTAAGGCAGCGTGCTAACTCTATATTCTATTCTGTGGTTTCAGACCAACATGCTTGTATGTTCACATTTATCCTCAGCATTAGTCTGTTGGTGTTTCCTCGCACCTGATACCTGAAAATTGATTTTATGTGTCTGCCCTCTCCTGGACAGGCATCACTTCAACAGTACACCCAGATTTATACCTTACTCTTTTCGACCACTGATTCCAATCTCCATTAGCAGGATTGTCATCCTTTTAGAAATGGATGGAGGAATGTATTTTGTTTTGAAGCCTGCTTTGTTTTGAGCCAAAAGTTCAAGGATGATGTTAATGTACTGTAAGCTCCTCTATTTTCTAATACCCTTGAAGTAGTGATGGCCAAACGAAGCTTCATGAACCATTTGCTGTATTCTTTGAATCCACTAGATGGTGCTCTTGGTTTGTTTGGGGCATGCTTTGAGCCCTTTTTTGAACAGAAAGCACCATCTAGTGGCATCAAAAGATACAACAAGTGGTTCATGAAGCTTCATTTGGCCATCCCTTCTTTTAAGTATTTTCACACCGCAAACATCAAGCACTTGTCCATTTTGACAGTTTCTGCTGGTGTCCAGCTGTGTACACTTTTGCAGCTGAGGATGGTGTCCCTCACATTAAGGCTATCACACATTCCCCTGCTAATGACGCTATCTTTAAGGGGTTTCTACTGTGGCATTTACTGCCATTCAGAATACCCCAAGTAAGACATTCATTTAGCCACCACCCAGTGAAAGAAATCCTGGGCTGAGTCCTGACACCGTCTCTGAGACCCGGCAGAAGCTGTAGCTGACTGTTGACTTTGGCCCAGTCAAACACATCAAGCAGTCGCGTGGATCACCTATTCATCCTTCAGGGTGCAGGCCAATAATGGAGGATAAGACTCTGCATATCACTATCTTTACTTCTCAGGACATAAAGGGGAGCGTCACCCACAGGCTGCTCCTGACGAACTAACACTTCATGGTGGTGTCACTTTAAATTAAAGGGAGATGCAGGCACCTTCAATTAACACTAGACTTAACTAGTAAGTAGTAAACTGATTCTCTTAAAGGCTTAAGTATCCATATTGAACTTAAGTCTTTTCTCAGTGGCTACACTGAAGAAAACTCTGTGCCAAATGTGTTTTGTTACGCTGTTATAGGAGAATGATTCTAAAAATATTCTTGTTTCTTTCTCGATCTGTAAATGAACTAATACTACCATTAAACACCCCAAGGTATTTTTTTAAATATAATTGCAGGAACTGTGGTCAGGCTTTTTAAAGGGAGACTAAGACTCATTCCCATCTATGCCTACAGCAGCTAGAGCGAAGTGGCCCTTTGCAGCATGCAGGTGGAGGTTAGCACCTGCCGTGCCCACAGTAAGGCAGCAGAGTTAAGGCAAGACGAGTGTTGCTGTTAGACATTCCATGCATATATTTTTGGTGGACAGAAGCAGCTGATTACTTTGACCCCCCCACTCCCCACCCCCCAAAAAAGAAACACTGCATGGAATGACACATTCAAGAACCTAGTCCAGGGATTAGGGCACTGAAGACCACTGCCACTAAGACAAAAAATTAGGTACACAAATCCTGTGCACACAAACAGCACAAAAGTAACACGTATCAAAACATAAAATAACCTTAAGGAAAATCTCCAACAGTGAGCCTAATGTGTATACATGATCTGAATGTTTAAATGTGATGTGTAACTTTAGAAGAATCCTCAGAAAAGGTTGTTTGATATGCTTTATAACACAAATCGCTCAGAAGTCATAATGATCCGAGCTTGTAAAGCAACGGTACTTAAATGCAACAGGGGAATAAATAACAACGATATGTTCAGGTCTTACAGTACATAGGACAGAAAAGAATTATCTTTACAGTACAAAAATATATATAATTCCACAACACAGAGAAAGAAAATCCACTGTTCTGATCAGAGAAAGCTAGCAGGCTAAATCCAATAGCTGGTCCATATTCACTTACTTATATAAAAATGTATTGATCGATTGGTGGCGGCATTTTACGCAAATGTTATCTAGGACTTTTCAAATAGTAGACCGGGTTACATTGCACACAAAACGGTTCTGCGATGACTGATTTTGTCTTTATAGTTGTTAAAATAAAAAGCACACTGTGGCATGCAACCTCTAATACTACACTGTTAATCACAGCCGTCAGCTTCCAGAATGTAACCATTACCTAGCTATTTTGACAACAGGCTATCATAATTTAATAGATCAGCAAAAATGCATTACAAATATATCCATCAGTATTTGTAACGAAGAGCTATCCTGATGCAACCTACTCGTAACGTGATCTCAGAATATCATGGATGAAAAAAATACGTAAAATGTATTGATAAATGATCAGAGAACAAGCCGGTTTATATGACGTCTCAGTGTATTGATTGTACTTTTTTGAACTGCGTATATGTTTATATAGATATAATAATGCATATATGGAGTAAGCAGTGGCACGTGAGTGATCAGAAGTTTGTGACTGCAGAAAGTGAAATGCCCATGAACCCTGGGATGTAACGTTCTGTGGGGTCAGGGGTCAAGGGTTAAGGGTCAGGGGTCAGGCAGTGTTCAGTCACACAGATAAGCATTGGCAGCAGGCGCAACCACATTGTGAAGTAAGGTCCTTAACTGTCCAATTCAATAGAACATCAATTACAATAACATCAAAAAAGAACAACAAAACAGCAAATGAAACAATAATAATATTAATATTAATAATATATGCTAGAAAACAAAACAGGTTCAAAAAGTGAAAACAAAATCAAAACATTGAAAGGTAGAGAGAAACTCAGAGACAGTATAAAATATCCTTCCCCTGCTTTGAAATGTTTTCTTTCCTTCTTCTGCTTGTTCACAAAGTCATTTGATGCTGTAGGTGTTTTATGGCTGATGACGATGATGATGATGATGATGATGATGATGATGATGATGATGGTCGTGAATTTGGATGTGGGGAGGGCCGTTATGTGGAGCTGAGTAGGAACCCTGAGAAGGAGGAGTGGATGTACTCAGTGGAGTACAGCCCATTAGCCTGGTCAGAGGGCATCTGGACCCACACCTGATCTCCCTCCTTCAGCTCCAGAACGGCGCTGCCGGATGCCTGGTCCATGTAGCCCTTCTTGTACTCGTCGTAGGTGTATGTGGCAGGCACATTGTTCTTGTATAGCGCCACCCACAGGCTGGTTCCCTTTACATGCACGTGGTAAGCAAAGTAGTAGATGCCAGCGAATGGACTAGTGAAGATCCCCGTAGAAGGATTGTAGGCGTTCTGCCCATTATACAGAGTCCTGTCAAACTTAATTGGCATGCCAGAGGGCGGGAAGGGAGTGGTCAGGATGGCAGTGAAAGCGGGAGCGAGTGCGGCAGACAGCACCCCTTGTCCATACTGGGGCTTCCCATTCCGGCCACCTGGAACCGACTCCCCGCCAAGGTCAGGTTCATGCAGCCCAGACACTCGCGTCTCACCATTGATGATGGCTCCTGGAGGACCCGGGGGGCCCGGAGGACCTGGGGGCCCTGGGATGCCACTCAGTCCCGCTGTACCAGGTTTTCCTGGGGGGCCCTGTGGTCCTGGTACTCCATCATTGCCATTCATGGTTACCCCAGGTAAGCCAGGAGGACCAGGCTCCCCCTTTAAACCAGGAATTCCCTGGGGCCCCATAGGCCCTGATGGGCCCTGGAGGCCTGGAATCCCAGATTGACCTCGAGGCCCCGGGGCCCCTACAATTCCAGATTCCCCTTTCAATCCTGGCACACCTGTCAACCCAGGGTTACCAGGCAAGCCTATGTGGCCAGCCTCTCCTTTGGGACCTGGCTTTCCAAAAACACCATTGGGGCCAGGCAGACCCCTTTCTCCAGGGACACCAGGCTTTCCTGCAAGTCCATTGGGACCTTGAGCTCCTCTGATCCCAGGTGCTCCTGGGGGCCCAACAGGCCCAACTTCTCCTTTTAGGCCAGGTATGCCATGCTTACCTGGAAGACCGATAGGGCCCTGGATTCCTGGAGGTCCAGGTTGTCCATCCAGGCCAATGTTACCTGGCTGCCCATCCATTCCATGCTCCCCTTTATCTCCAGGGAGTCCTGGTAGTCCTGAGGAACCACGATCCCCCTTCTGCCCCATCAACCCAGGCTTGCCATAGCCAGCAGCTCCGGGCAGACCCGGTGGCCCCTGGTGCCCTTGTTCCCCCTTTGGTCCAAGAGGACCTGGCACTCCACGCAAGCCATCTACGCCAGGTTTCCCTAGTCCAATTGGTCCAGGCTGACCTTGCAATCCTGGAGCACCAGGTTCTCCTGGTGATCCTCGTATTCCTGGAAGTCCACCATCACCTTTTGGCCCAACAGGCCCAGGAAGCCCATTCATTCCTGGCTTTCCAATGCCTTGGGCCCCAGGTAGTCCTGGAAGACCTTTAAGGCCAGTCGGGCCCCGTGGCCCAGGTATACCTGGAGTTCCATTTCCATTTTCCCCCTTTTGCCCTCGTTCTCCATAAGCACCCGGTTCCCCTTTTAACCCTGGCTCACCCCTGCCCCCTGGAGGGCCCCTAATGCCGGGGAGTCCAGGTTTTCCATTCAGAGACAAGCCCGAGGGTCCCGGGAGGCCAGGCTGCCCGGGCAATCCTCTTGGGCCTGGTTCACCTCGCAGGCCAATCTCACCCTTTCCCCCGGCTATGCCCTTCAGACCTGCCTTTCCAGGAAAGCCTGGGGGCCCCGGTTTCCCGATCACAGACAGCCCAGGGGGGCCCTGAGACCCAGGCTGCCCATTGAGTCCTGGTTTTCCAATCCCTGGCTTCCCTGCAGGACCTGGGAGTCCCGGCGGCCCACGGAGGCCCGGTTTTCCTTGAGGGCCAGGTTCTCCTTTGACGTCCACCATAGGCAGCGTATCTGCAAAGTGAAGCAAAGAGAAACCATTTAAGGGCCACTGACAATGTGCTCATATATTTTCTTGGCTCCTTAAGAGGATCATACTTCACCTTCACACTCGTTTCCCAGCTGTATGAATTTACTAGTATGCTGTCATCACGTAGTCATGGGATTTAACAAAAGATTAGTGAACTTGGGAATTTTTCCAAAACTATCTGCTGTTATTTGTTATGACCGAGGTGTGACCTATTGTTTTGTACACAGATGGGAAATCCATCATCCTTAAATGACTGGGATCCCAGTTCTTTCTTGTTCCCCTGCAAATGGAGTCGCAGGTGTTGCCTTACAGCCTCATATCCCCTTAGAGGACATAAAAAAGAAAATGAATGGAGGAGAATGATGATTCCTCCGAATTTAATTTCCGGGAGGGTCTGCTGCAGCTTTGGAAAGCCATTGTTGACAGAGGGAGACAGAATGGACTGCAGACAGCTCCGGTCTCTCACTGCCCACACTGAATGGATGCACTGCTGCACTTCTGGCCGACGTCAGCTGCATCATTTACATTCTTATTTATTTAGCAGATGCTTTTAACCAAAGCGATGTTTGTTTTTTTTTTTTGAGAAAGCAGGGTCAGCCAGTCCCTGCAGCCTTGGCCAGGGGCCCAATGGTAAAATCACTTGGCTAACCATGGGATTTGAACCAAAAACCTTTCAGTCACAGCACCCAAACCCACTGGGCCACATCCTGCTCACATAACGGCAGATCAGTCAAGGAGACAATTTACTGTGTAATTGGCAGAACCATTAAGTGTTTTTTTTTTTCTCATCAGCTGACATAATAAGAGAAACAAACCGTATCTGTAAAGCTAACCTCACGCTTGGTGCTCAAATTCATGGCTAATTGGTTGTTCAAACAATATGAAATGTTGTTTATTAGGGATATCCAAGACAACATTACCGGGGGAAATTGAAAGTTTATGTCCAATTATAATATAAAAAAATTTAAAAAATACAATAATGGGAAAGATACACAGTTTTCCTCCATTCCACAGTTTATCTGAGTGTCAGAATAAGTAGCATCATGTAGACTAACATTTCAAAATGGCGGCAATATATGTGGGAATTTCGAAGTCAGGGCAGGATGATGAAAGCACATTTCAAGATCAATTAGTAATAGAAGCAATGGAGAGAGAGAGCGGCTGTCATCTATCATGTCATCTCAGTCTATCCACTGGCCAGGTCTGGCAGTTGTTCCAAGTCTTCGGCCTCAGTCAGACATTACAGATTGATTCAAGATGTGTCGCCAGTTTACACATTACCTACGTCTCAGTGCTGGGGGGCTAGCCGCAGATTTGGACTTTCGGTGTGAGTAACAAATACCACTGTTTGCTAAGATGTGTGTAAATTCCCAAAAGGTCAACTCAGGCAGAATGCCGTCATGTTAAAGAATCATGTGATATTAGAGTATATTTCATAACTTTATATAAAATTTATCGTTCAGCCGGAATTCCATATTTCCACTGTTTGTGGAAATGATCTCACCAGTTGTAGTGAAAACATCAGTAACGCTAGAAATCAGTAACACTAGCAAAATGCCACTTCGTGTTGGACACGATTATGCGACGTTTGTCTGAAAAAAATTTACATGTGGAGGGACTGAGGTTTTCTAAAACTAAAAATGTTCTCTTACTTTGTTACTGTGAATGGAAATGAGATACAGTGTTACATTTGTTTCCTAAATTTGTCTTTTCTGGCTGCTGGTACAGTCCAAATATGACAGAAGTAATCTAGGTAATATGTTCTCCATTCTATGTGCCAGAAGAGCCACCAGAACCAAATAACATAAAGTGCTGTTAATGTCCGGCATTCCACTGACTGCAAATGCCTCATTAGACAATTAATGGTCAGTTGTAATCATTAGAAAATGTTATATTTACTACATAGTAAGTTTTAAATACCAAAGAAGTACTTATAAAACTTAAGTACATTTATTTGACACTATAAACCATTTTTATAAACTTTTCTTTTCTACCTGCATGCTTCCTGCAGATTATAGTGCCAAACAGCAGACAGCAAATGCAAGACGGTAAGTATGGCAGTCACAGATAAACAATGATACATGACAACAGACAATAGCACCCCAGTGTATAAACAAACACTCGGCATACACATGTGCGAGAGCGGCGCTGGAAATAGAAGCTGAGGTGTAAAGTGTCAGAGTGTCAAGTGTTGCAAGATTTCGCGTGCAATCAATTGTCGTTGAGGAACCTGGCTGACGGTGGGTAAAACCATCCCTGAATCATGTAATCTGAGTACTTAGTTCGGCTCAAGTTTATGATCCAGGCCGGCATTTTGAGGAAGTGTATCATGCAAATGCCCTGAGCTGCTTTGTGTCGGTTCTCCTCTGGCCAGTCATCTCCTCTCTCTGCTGCGCTTGTTATTCTCACGAGAACAGACACAATAGTATATTTGTAAAGATGGGCTGGCGCTGTTGATGACATTCAGACCATCGTCAGATGTCTGAGGATGTACAGTAAAGGCACCATGGCTCGCCCTTCCTCGTGGTTGGTGTGTGAAGTGTGACGTGACCATGTGAGGCCATCAGTGATGGTCACGTCAGACTTCAACGGCCATCAGGAAACCAGCCAATCTACGATATGTGGGTGGTGAAGCTTTTTTTCTGGAGGCTATGCTCTGTCATCCTGGTATGGTACTTGCCATGGGGTCTGTATCTGCCAGGGGTCTGTATCTGCCATGGGGTCTGTATCTGCAGGGAGTTTGTATCTGCCATGGGGTCTGTATCTGCCAGGGGGTCTGTAGCTGCCATGGGGTCTGTGTCTGCCAGGGGGTCTGTATCTGCCATGGGGTCTGTATCTGCCAGGGGGTCTGTGCCTGCCAGGGGGTCTATATCTGCTAGGGGGTCTGCCTCTGCAAGGGGATCTGTATCTGCCAGGGGGTCTGTGTCTGCCATGGGGTCTTTGTCTGCCAGGGGATCTGTGTCTGCCAGGGGGTCTGTATCTGCCAGGGAGTTTGTATCTGCCATGGGGTCTGTATCTGCCAGGGGGTCTGTAGCTGCCAGGGGGTCTGTAGCTGCCAGGGGGTCTGTATCTGCCAGGAGGTCTGTATCTGCCATGGGGTCTGTATCTGCCATGGGGTCCATGCCTGCCAGGGGGTCTGCCTCTGCAAGGGGATCTGTATCTGCCAGGGGGTCTGTGTCTGCCATGGGGTCTGTGTCTGCCAGGAGGTCTGTGTCTGCCAGGGGGTCTGTATCTGCCATGGGGTCCGTGCCTGCCAGGTGGTCTGTATCTGCTAGGGGGTCTGTATCTGCCATGGGGTCTGCCTCTGCCAGGGGGTCAGTCTGTGACACAGGGTTAGGCCCTGAGAGAACTAGAAAGCTGTGCTGTGCACAGCCACACCAGGTAATCTGCTCCAGAAAAATCTGCTCTGACGTACTGCAGAAAGAAGGATTCTGCTAAAGGTACTGTAGGTTAATTGTCGTGTCCAAAGTAAGAGTCGACTAAAATAGGTTACAACCGGCAGAGGAATAGTGGCATTGATTGATACTAATGCATTATTTAGTGTAAATATTTATTGTATACATATGCTAAATATATAAAACTGACAATATTATGAAAATGCAATACATCACTAGATAATAAAAAGGGTAGCTAATCATTCCAGTTATATAAAGCTTAGGAAGAAAGATGTACATACTGGGAAAATGAAGCCTTATGTATGGACAGTAAATAAGTAATATATCTTGTTTTTTTTTTGAGAATCAGTCAAATCAGAATAATTTTAATCCTTACAAAACACTTGACCACTTTCTCTGGTGTCAGAAATGCCAGCAATTTAGGGCCAGATCACCAAACAAAAAAGATCTACTTTTACATGCAATGCTGCATTCATTCCAGTAGGTGGGAGTAGAGACAAATAAATGAGTGACCTGCCGTTAAAAAACACATTATCATCACTGGAACGTTCCTACACAGAGGAAAAAGGACACAGGAATTCCGTGGCTCTAGAATGGATCTTAAATACAGAGGACTTCCCCCTTCACAAAGCCAGCGTGCCCCAGTCCCAGCACGACACTGATGATCTCATTCCCCAGTAAGTCTAGGATTGTGGCAGCAAATTGGGTTCAAGGCTTACAAAAGCAGCACATAAAAAGCTATATATATATAATGAAATAAAAATAAAAATTCCTGGTAGCAGCAGGCCCTGTAACTAGGAGCCATTGTGTTAGCAAAATCCAGAAGCTCAAACTTTGCCAAGAGAGAATCAGCGGATTCTTCTTGTGGTGGATGCCTTTATGTGCAGCCCAATCACACTCGAGGTGGAAAACCAGGAGAGCAAAGCACACCCAGGAATGACAGAGAGGTTCAGGATGACCATTCACAAATAGCTGGGACTCCTATCTTCCTTACAAATGTAGGTTTCGGGTTCTGCGGTAGGTCCCAGGAATCGTGTGGTGGACAATTTGACACTAGGGTGAGGATCTGATGCACAGGACATTGCACCATCTTCTCAAATGGTAACATTTCAGGAGGGCTGCCTGCATTCCATATGATCTGGCTGCACTATGGCGACATTTTTAACAGTTTGTCTGTCTTTGAGCATTTTTGTTTTTGTTTTTTTCCTCGTTAAAATAATGTCTTCCTCCAATAAGAGAAGTTGCAGGGGCTTGCTGATGCTGAAAATGGTTTCAGAATGGTTCCTGGCCATGTCAAAAAGTGTTTGGAAACTTTTGCTTCCAGTATTAAACAGGTCAACTCCAGTTTTAATTTGAGTCAGCAGATGTCTGACCAGCTATACTAGCCACAGAGCACATCTCTCTCCCATTCTGGCATCTTCCAGTAAAATATAGAATAGATTTTAAGATTTTTGTTTACTTATTTATAATCCTTTTTACAATCAGATACCCACTTATATCTGTGACCTTTTGACCCCATACTCAGCAAACAGGACACTCAGGCTTTCCGATCCAGGTTTTGCTGTTATCCCAAGTCCAAGTCTAAAACCAGAGCTGACAGAGCTGTTGCTGTTGCTGCCCCATGGACGTTGGATCAGCCGGCAGAGAGGGCTCCATTAAATGATGTCTGAAAACTTTTTGTACAGCTTTTATTGATGTTTGAATATCTTGTTTTATTTTTTCTGAAGTACTTTGTGACATTTGTTCTACATAGATATGTGTATGTCTCTAAAGGTGCTATATATATATAAGCTACTTACCAGGCCAACACCTACTGTACTTACTATACCTGATGTATGGATAGTCAGTGGCAGCGAAAGGAGCTAAACTTCAGCTTGGGTCAGGAGACCACTTCACTCATGGCTGTGGTCTCTTTGCCTCAGGCAAGATCCAGGAGATGACGAGTCTGTGTTTTCCATGCCTCCTTTCCATTTTTACCACAGCCCACTTAACTGGAACGTGTTGGGAGAGCAAAAAAGCATTTCTTTTTCCAGCCGCTCTGAGGCCCAAGTACGGGTGACACATCGGACGAAACATCGAACGAAATTGCTCTGTTGTTTTTTTTTGCTTTTGTCCAGGGTGGACTTTCGCTTGGAGGAAATGAAGGATGGGTCAGAGGCTGCTTCTGCTGACAAAGCTGGGTGGGATATTAGCATTACTGACCGTTAAGTCTGACACACTTTAGCACAATCTCACATGCCCCTGACTAAACTTACTTCAAAAAAAATATATAAAAACACTACTAACAGCTACCAGATGCTTCGGAGGAGCATGTCTTCGTGAGGCTTTCCAAACGGAGAGCAATCAAAGGTTTATGAATGAGCCATGTGGCCCCACCAGCCCCAGAGAGCAGTCTGAGCGAGGGCCCGTGGTCCCTTTCAGGGTGCAGAGCTGCAGCGGGCCGTGAGAAGCTGTTTTCACGGGCACACGCATGCGCTGATTACTCCTGTTTGCAGTCTGCTCTCATTCTCAGAAACACTCTGAATTGCATCCAGTCCACAATCCCAGGAATGTTTTTGTCTGCTTCCTCCAACCCTGCCGTGGCAACTCCGACGGCGGCCGCGGTTGCGGCCGGCATCCGCTTTCCTTGCGGCACTATCACATTTAGATGAGCTGCGCACCATACAGGGGCAGCATGCGGCTCAGCCTCTGTGCCTCTGATCAGAAGGTTGTTGGGTTGAAACCCCAGGGTTGGCAGAGTGAATTCCCCACTGGGCCCTTTGAGGGAGGCCCTTAACCCCCTGCTCCCCCGCTCTAGGAACTGACTGAGCCTGCTTTCTCACAAATGTGCTCCTTTGGAGGAAAAACCACATGCTCAATAAGTGGTGTGTAATGTACTCTACCTACCAGGCCAACACTAAAAGTCAAGCAACTAAGAAAGCATCAGTTGCATGAATTGTGGTCCAAACATTTTTTGGCAAATAGTAAACGTATGGATTAACCAATACATGTAAAGCTGAAACAGTGAAGGAATTAGCAGCTAGTGAGGTATATTAGTGAGTGCTGTCATCTTACTTTTGCACTTTTGAAAATTTAATGAAGCACTGGAATCGTAGTTCAGTGCTAATTTCTTTATTCTGAAGGACAGACAGATGTGAGGAGGCATTTTACTGGAATCAATCATAAGCTTATATAAGCTGAATATATAATTAAAGCAGCTATACATCATTGCTGCTAGGGGTTGATTCGAGGGTTTAACCAATGTGGCCGATATTTACTGTTTACTGCAGCCCTAGGCTACAGCTTGCAGTGGAAAAAGCACCAAGTGTAAGTAAGTTACATTCTTAGTAATATTTCTACACGTTGACAAAAAGGGGTGACAACAAGTCATAAAGCTTGTAACAGTGGTTGTGAATCTCAGGTATCTGGGATCAAATACATCTTGACCTAGTTATTGGCTTAATGTCTGATTCAAAACAACCCTTCCAAAGTACAACCCTACAAATATTTGTAATAAATAATAAAATGATCGATATTTTGAATGATTAGCAATCTTTCTTATCGGCTGAATTTAGTTCCAGCTCAAATTTAGTATTTTTTTTTGTTATACTTTCCCAGAGTTTGCTTGTATTCCTTAGCTAACGGAAACTTCATTTAACCGGACTACAGGACAATATCAAGTCAAAAACTGGCAGATTTATATTAACTATCAATTTTTAGAAGCAAACATATTACCTAAGAGCTGAAGAGGAAATCCAGTCAGCCTACCCTCAGGGCCTCGAAATGACACCTTCATAAACAGAAGCGGCTGCCATAAAACATGCAAACGAGCCGCTCAAATTACAGATGAGCTGAATGACATAAATTAGAGCTCAGGTAAAAGCAACCTGAGGCTTTCGCCTGCATTTCGTCTGTAACAGAGCACGTTTTGTGTTTCACCATCACAGCGTTTGCTTGACCCAGCCATCCTGACCTTACACACACCAGCACAAAGCTCATTTTCCTGGGAAATGCTTAGTGTGTGAACCTGCAAAGATTTATACAGGGGCAGGTCCACAGATGCACTGCCCCTAGCTAAAAGCTGATTGGTCCCTTGAGTCCCCCCTTGCCGTTCACTCATCGATTGAAAAGCCACATGATTGGCTACTTATAAGGTCGGTCCCTCTGTTTGAATTAAGGCCCCTCTTATGCCAAACATAAGCTTTTCGCTGTTCGTCTGTAACTCTCTCTTTCTTTAACTTCTTCTCTCACTCCTAGCTGGCGTTCAGTTTGTTGTACTAATTCTAACAGCTATACTCTCATCCATAGGTATTACTATTGGGGGGGGGGGGGGGCTTGGAACACATCCCACCCAATATTCAAAACAAGAAAGAAAGAAAGAAAGAAAGCTTACCTAAGAACTGGCCCTTGCCCTCCCGGAAGGGAGGCCCCCCAGGGCCCTTCATCATGGGCTGAACGTACTTCATCTGAGGCAGGGGGTGGTATCCGCCTCCCAGAACCCCCCCCAGCAGGAACAGCGGCAGGAACACAGGCAGCATGGTCAGGAGCCTCAGGCAGCCAGGGAGGGGCGACCTATGGGGAAGGGAGTGGGGGTGTAAGGAGAAGCATGAGAGAGGAGCGAGAGCGAGAGGAGAACACCTTCATGTTGATGTCCAACTGTAGAGCTAATTTCCCAAACGCAGGCTGAATCATCATACGTATGTCACACTCATGCAGCATTGGACCAAGAGTCTAATAAGACAACTGTTCAAATAAAACGTGCATAATGAGAAGATGCACATGCATCAGCAGTGTGTTCATACTGCTCTATTCATGTACTGTTTGTTTTCTCGAGTCGGAACATGTGTTGAATTAGCACTTACAATTTTGTGCAACTGCTTGCTTAATGTCACGCCTCAGAAATGCGCCTAGGAATTGATTTTGTAATAAGAACAAGGCTTCTGCAGAGGTAAAATACTGCAGTGATACACAGTGTAAGTGGAGACTGATTATCGGCTGGGAATCAGCACAGCTCTGGGCACTGGGTCTCCCCAGCTTCACATCAAGAGCCTAATACGAAGGCCTCCATCAGGTGTAAACAGTGAACCATGTCCTTGGTAAACCACATATGAGGCCTGGGCTATTACACTCAGGAAAGATAATACCGCAAAAAAAAGAAACACTGCAAAGACTGTAATCATTCCCGGGCATATGGAGATCCAGACGCAGCAGTCAGACTGAACCGGAGAAGGGCTACGAAAACTTGGTACCAGGAGGCTGCGGCTGGAGTCGGGGCGTGTGTTTTCATTCTGGCAGGGGAGGCGAGACCCAGATGAAAGCCAGGAGGCAGCCTCCCCCCGTCATGGGCTGTGCAGGTCGCTGTTACCGAAGCTGCCCGCACCTGGATGGACTTCAGCAAGGCCGGGCCGAGCCTCACGCTCCCCGCCTCGCTGTTTGTGTAACCTGTCCATCCCCAGGACAGCCGGGCCTCTTTGCTTTAATTCCCAGGCTGGAATGATAATTTCATCCTCATGTTACCCGTACCAAATATTTACATAAGGCCATTCAGGTGCTGAGCGGGGCTGGTGATTTCAGAAGGCTGACGAGGCTCCGTGCACCTTACTCTGACGAGCGGCCGGTCGGGGGGCAGAGGGATCTGCTCGTGAGGGACCCGTTCTTGTGGATGTAGTGACACCTTGAACCCCAGGAATAGACTCAAACTAACAGCAAAACATTAAAGGGTAACACTTTACTTGAGGGGGCACACATACTAAGTAGTTGCTCAGTTACTACTGAAGTACAAATCATGAACAAATATAGTAGCTCTTGAAAATACAAGATACATCATGATTCATTAATGATGAACCAACATAAGATCAGTATTTCACTGGTGTTATTCATGACTTGTTCCTTCAGTAGTTCCTCCAGTAATTCACAAAGGTTTACAGAATTAACAAATATAGTAATTGCTCAAGATAAAAAATGCATTATTCATTCATTAATGTAGTATGTAGGTACGTATGTAACTAAGACTTAATTTGTTGTTAATTAATACATAAGTAACAGCATAACGGCACATTATTAGAGCCCCATTAAGTAAAGTGTTACCAAATATTGTTACACTTATACCTTTTCTTAGTCCAAGAAAATAACAGGTTTTTGTGTTGGGTGAACCATCCTCACAATGCCTAATTAAGTTCCTAAACATCTTCATTACATTGCCCCACAAAACAATGACAAAAACATGGCACAAAAAATAGTTCTTATGTACTTGAGTTACTAAGATGAGGGAGGTCAGGTGATCTGTGGCATTCATGAGCAGGTTACATAACGTCCTACAGTTTTAATCCATTTAGGAATTAGCATCCAAAGATCCGGACTACACAACAACAGATGATGAAATTGGGCAATATCCAATGAGGGAAACCAGTCCCAGCAGACTGGGGAGGATGCTTATCTGGTTTTATTAGGGAAAATGTAGGAGACACCAGCTCTGTAGGTTGATGTTTCACAACACTGGTCATTTGCTTCCAGAGATCAGTCTGGTGAGAGATGTTCTGCTGTATCCACCATTTACCAGCATTCATTGTTGTTTGGCAATCAAACCAAAAGGGAGATTTGACACTTTTGACACATTGTCGTTTGGAGACAAGCAAGAAGCTTGAGGACAAATGTGATTAGTGATTGCTAGAGGGCACTTTTGTCTGAGCTTCTACACATGACCCTAAGTCTACGCAGAAGCGGGCAAGGCAGCCAGGTCCCATGGCGCTAACTTTGGAGAACTTCTGTGATGAGAGGCAAGACCTGTGTGGTTCACCGAATATGGCCTCCTAATCTTTGGTTATTTTATTTTTACTGGACTCTAGGATCTCAGAGCCACTCAGTCCAAGCGTGATACAAGCCCAGTTCCTGTGCTAAAACTTGTTCTATTCCATTTCTGGTGTGCAAATCATTTTTGTGGTTGCTATCTTGATTGTTTCTCCATGTGATAATGTAGGATCCAAAGGCTTGAGTAAGGACACTTGAATATGTGATCTTCTTTCAATCATTCCCTTATGCCTGATAGCACGTATGGTAAACTCTCCCGAAAGCTGCACAATAAGAAAACAAATATAAGGAAGTTTGCTGTTCTTTTTTTAATTAAAAAAAGAAAAAAAAACAGCACAATTTGTGGGAGTTCAATACCCTCCAGCTGCTTCCTATACTGCTCCTGAGAGCTGTGTTTTTCTGGAGAAAGCAGATCAGCACTTTACCAGGATACCCAGCGTTGCAAAGGCGTCTACACAGTCTGCCTGAATGAAATCAGACATGTCTCACTTTTCACAGAATCTGTTTATTGAATGTGTTCCCCCAAAAATTCTGGTCAAAGCTGTTAAAATGTCTCACGCAATCTGCCTGGCGACGGCGAATGTGTTTACAGCGGAGACACGGCCTCGTGCAGACGGCGACGAGCTGGGTTGTTGAAACAAACAGTGAAACAAGCTTTACATAAACACTGAGGTAGCTTAGCAGCTCCCTGGTGGCCAAAAAATGAAACGACAAAAACCACATTCCCTGTAAAAGGCATTAGGCTGGCAGCATGAGCGACACGAGAACACTAACGAGAAATGCGGTGCCCGCTACCAACTGCAACATCGCTAGATAGATCACTAGATAGATAGATCACTAGATAGATAGATAGATAGATAGATAGATAGATAGATAGATAGATAGATAGATAGATAGATAGATAAAAAAAATATGTGTTAAAAATTCAATCACAGGATACTGTGGGGAATTCCCTGACGGCCTTTTCAATGACAAAATAACATTTAAAGATTATAAGCAGACCTCTTTAAGCAGCTCAAGTCCAATGTATGAAATGTCATGCATTGGTCATAGTGCAAATGAGAAAATAGTAAATAGAATTTAAATACTGTAAACATGTAAACATTAACATATAAATATATAAACTTGTTGGCCTGATCACTGGTTGTTGGATTGAAGGCAGTTGACCTAATCATTCAGCCACGCCGACCTGATCTGCTAAGTTAATTTCAGCTGGTCTGGAAACGTTACATATTTGTGTCAGTAGTGCTGCTTTAATATGACAGGATTGGAGACCAACACACAACCCGCTGCTTGCTGCCAGATTACCATCGGATTAATATCTGACCTAGTCTGAGAAAGACTTAAACTAAAGCGGCATCCGTCTGCGTGCAAAACACACTCCAAGTCTTTAATGCGCCATGTGACATATCGTGTCTTAAGCAACGGAAAACCAGAGTAGACTGGAGGAGAAGAAGCCAAGAAAGACTGGGCCCTGTGAGCGTGCGGAGTGACGACTGGCTCACCGCAAATATCGGAAACCCTTCAGCAAATACCATCCCGCGCGGAGATGGTGAAAAAGAAGACGGGCGGATTTTATTTCCTTTCACGTGGCTCGGATCTGCCCCGCTGCCACGGTGGGGGCGGAGGTGAATTGGAAGCAAAACCGCTGGCAAGACATTTCCAAAGTGACACCCTGGCAGGCTAAAACAACACTTGATTGCACAAGTGATGGCAGCTTCAAACACTCCAAAACACGGTATTCTCGATATTCTCTGTAATTATAAACCATACATACCAAGTGCCCTTAGAAAGACTAAATGTTTACATATTCTACTTGTTTTTTTTGCATTCCTCATCCAGTTCTGCCCGGTTCATGCCACTATTTTAATCTAATTCGTACCATTCAGAAAAGTCAGAACAGCAGAAGTGATAGTCCTGTTCATATTTAGGATTTCTTGATCCCATCCTTTAAATGTGAGTTTTGGACAGTAATCATCAGTTTGGTAAATTAATGCATTTTCTATGCATGTAGGCATGTGGTGAAGAGCACCCATGGCTACACAGACAGGCAGACAGACAGACAGGCAGGCAGGCAGGCAGATAGATAGATAGATAGATAGATATTTTATTAATCGTACATTAATCCTGTGTACTTTGTACGCTGACATGCGTATATGAAAACGCCTAACATCTGGCACATGACTAGAGAACATACTCAAGACACATTAAAGCGAGACTTGAAGAGACTGAGGAAAAATTTTCATCTAAAAATCGACTTCCAAGTATGAAGTCAGCGACTACTGTGAGGTAATGCCCAGTAGTTATGGGGTCCAGCCCCCATCCTGTCCTCATCTCCTTGCTACTAGCGAGTCATACAGTATGAACTCGGCTGCTAAGCACAACACCTCCGTCCCAGTGATACCAGTGATGGGTAAACAGTAGGGGTGTGCAAAGCAGCCGGTATTTGTATCTGTATTTGTATTTGTTGAGGGGGGAAAAGTATTTGTATTTATATTCGTATTCGCGTAAAATTCAAAATAGGCGTAAAAATCCAGTTTTTTTGCGTTGCACTTCTAATTTACGTTATAGTGTAAGTATTCTTTAATTATATCCATTATAATAATTATGGATATGCAGTAGACAGAGTAACTTAAACGTACCATATAACTCCTACAAGTGCATCCAATTCGACACAACTACACAAGCATTGTTTTAACCTTTTTAACCAAACGTTAACGTTACTCTGTCAACAGCCTATTGTCTAAATTACCGAGCTAACAGAG